ACAGAAGCTCTGGATGTTTCACTATCTAAAAGGATGATTTTGTCTTTTTCTTTTTCTTTAACTCCTCTCCCCCCCCCCCCCCCCCCCAAACACAAAAAAAAAAAAAAAAAAAACAACCGCCACTTGAAAGTTGATCCATCTGCAACAGGGCAGTAAGTCTGTGCTTAGGATAGTATTTTAATCAATTTGTTCAGTTTTTTTTTTTGGGAGCAAACGGTAACTTTCATATAAACTTTAATAAGATATTCAAAAGTATTACAATTGTTGGGCAACTGTCCTATCAACAGATTGTGACTAGCTTTTTAGTCACATTGGAAAACTTGTTTCTGATTTAACTTCCTAAACTAGTTTAATGGCAAATTTTGCCAAGCAATGACTAATGTCATCATTCTCCCTCATAACAAAACAGGAGGAGCAATGCCAAAAGAGGTCTACTAACTTAAGTATGGTAATTAAGTAATACATCTCAACTCACAAAGCAGGTACACCAAAATGATACCACAACATACAATGAAAAGCACGCCAGGCTTAACAAACGCACCGAAAATCATATTAAGGTGGCAAGCTGGGCATAGACCTTAGCCATCTCCTCACACTAGAAACATAAGTGCTCTTTTTTACCATTTATTTTTTCTACAAGAGATTTCAGATTTTGCCAGCTCGTTTAATCACAAGTAACAGTGCTCATTGGCAGTAGACAACCCCTTTATTTACAGCGTAGTTATGTGGTCACCTCCAAGCCACCACACATTTATAAACTTAATTGGGCACTTCCCTAAAAGAAAAAGAAAATCTTTTCCAGCAATGCAGACTGATGTTTTTCTTTTCCCGGCCCAATCAGTATATGCATCTCAATTGTCGCAGACAAGCAACTGATCTTCTCACAACATCTGCAGCCATTGATTTTGATTCCAGGCAAACTCCAGTTAGTCATCAGGCAAGATAGACCAGAACTGAATGCTTATCCACGTAAAGAATTCCTAGAAAACCAAGAACAAATAATCAAGGCCATTGAACATTAGGCACCAATTGCTACCGGAAGATTTATTCAAGTCTTCCAACATTTTAATGTTCCCTTTCCTTCTCTTAGAACAGGGTAAGATAGATGTTCCACACTCTTTAGAAAGGAAGGGAAAAAGGAGCACTGCAAAATAGCACAGAATAGGTTTGACTTCTGGAAGTGCATGAAGTAATGATTTATTCTGTATAGTTTTATTAGGGATAAGTTAAACAACTAGAAGAAACTCCTCAATCCTGACAAATGTGGTCCATCAGAACTTGAAAAACAACTAAACACTGCCTAATGCCAAGCAAATGCTGACTTTTCGCTGCCAACCTGATATTGGCTTAACTTACCTTACATTGTTATGGAATGCCACAATGAACAATTTCTCACAATCCTGCATAGGTCTGCTTAATTTTGGCTACTTCATCACAACATCCATATTTATTCACTGTCCCCATAAATGATATCTCCCTCTTGTGAAAATCTCTTGTTAGAGACAGTCACTTCCCTAGCGTCTAGTTCTAAATGACTCCAGCTTTTTCATCACAGTATATTATAAACAAACAAAGCTCGTTATCGTAAACATGAACCAGGTTCAAGTTATTATTACAGAACCATTTAAGGCTGGAAAACAAAAACATGAACCAGGTCGCTAAGTTGATATTAACATTAGAGAACCATTCAAGGCTGGAAAACGAAATTACCTTGGACTTATCTGAAGAACATTGGTTCTTTTACAAGCTAACAAGACCACTGCAAAGCCTTTTCCATAGATCTCACATATTTTTGGTGGCTTAGCATGGATATGAAGTAGACAAATTCCACCGCTCGCTCTTAGCTGCAAGAACAGCAAAAGATTTAATTGAGCAACAAAGCAATTTTAGCTGTAAACCTCTCGACAAACTACATTTGTATTATCTGAGTTAAAAATATAACCAAGTAGTCAAAGAACCTAATGAAAGCACTTTCTAAGTAGTCCTTGTAGTTATGGCTCAACTTTAGCATAAATGGATATAGTTTAAGAACTCTAATCAACTCAAAACCCTAACTCTCGTCTTGGGCAGTTCCTTTTAAACAAGACAGAGAAACAGATAACGAAAGCAACTTTGTTCAAAGTTCAGAATTGTCTTATGCCATGAGAGCCTAAAAATGATAGGACAAAAAGAAAACAGAGGTATCAGGTCATGCTGGCATATTACTCCTAGAGTTGATGCCGAGGCATTTTTCCCTCTTAGATCCTTGGGAAAATGAAAAATCTACAAATTGAGGTACCTGAATTGAGTTCTGAAATGTGAGTTTCCGATATTTCCTTCAACCTCATGTAGAAGCTGCCTGCAAGTATGCCCGTCTAGCAGGCCCTTCCCTTGTAACTCTTGCAATAAATGCTTGGCATCTTCGGCCCCTCTTTGGCGACAAGTTTCATCAAGTATGGTCCTATAGGTGATAAAATCAGCTGATCTTTGGTTTTCAGTCATCTCCCACAAGTACTTCACCGCTTCATCAACTTCTCCACTCAGAGCCAAGGAGTTCACAATTGATTTGTATGATTTACTACTAGGGACAAATCCTTTCTCCTTCATTTCCATACACAACTCCCTGGCGTTATTCGTTCTTCCTTGCGCACACAATCCATGGATCAAGTAATCATATGAAAAGGAATTAGGCAAGCACTTATAGACCACTCCCATCTGATGAAATACTCTGAGGGCATCATTAACATGAAGTGAAAGCACATATCCCTTTATCATAGAATTCAAGGAGAAAATATCAGGTTCAATCCCATCGTCGATCATTTGTCTGAAAAGGCATCTAGTTGTCTCCATATACATGTGATTTATGTATGAGTTCTTTCCCCTACTCAATAAAGCTGCAAAAAGGATATTAAATGTGGTAATTGAAGGCCTGCAGTCCAATTTTCCGATATCCCTCATGTGATTATATATGTTCACTGCTCTAGTCAATTTTCGAGCTTCTGTAAAATAATAGATCATTGTATTGTAAAGAGCTTCCGTACCCATAGAACGAATAGCAAGCACTTGATTAACAACATCATCCATCTCTTGGTACATTTTTGCAGCACCAAGTTTCTTTATTGTAATGTGGAAACTTGAAACATTGTGCCTAAACCTATGCTGTTTTGAAGCCCAATTAAACAACTCCAAACAAACTAAAGGGTCCTTCTCTAAAACTATGACATTGCAAAGTTCCTCGGGAGTGAACCTAGGTGGGAGCCCAGAAATAGCCCTCTCAAATTGGGCTTCATCTAGAGCAGGTTTTGCGGCAGCTTTTGCCCTCTTACTCATTCTCCTCCTTAAAGATCTTGAAGGGGGTCCCCTCAGGCGTCGAATTGGATATGGACTTGTAGAATAAAAAGAAACCAGAAAAAGTGAGAGGGAAAATGCAACCAGGAGTGTTTGATTTGAAGCAATTGAAATCTGGATGGGAGCTGAATGGCATCTAAAATTCCATATACTGGAAATGGGATGAAAAGAATGAGTAACTATTGAATGATTATAAAAGGATGCTAAACGTGGGGCAATCTTTAAGTAAGAACTATGAACTTCTGAGCCCCTAACAGATAGATTTTGCCACAAAGATACCATCTTGGACCGAATTTTTGTGACGTGATTTCTTGGTACTGAAAGCATAATGAAAATGTGAAATGAACACAGCCCAACTCAAAATGAACAACATATGGATATTAAAAGCTACAGCAGAAGTTCGTGATACGATTCTTGGAAGCAATTAAACTCAAACATATTGAATTTGTGGCAAGGTAAGGTGAAGGGTTCACAGCAAAGCTTCGAAAAAGAGAACAATTGAATCAAAACATGATTCAATAACAATACATAGGCAGGTGGAATTCACGGTTGCATAAATAGATCGACTACGGATTAGGAGGAGCAACCATGAGTAACGATAAGAAAGATCAAACCTCTGAGGAAGCAGATTTTGAACAACAACGGGAATGAAGCTCTCTTCCTCTGAATTGTAGCATACCAGTGGTTTAGTTTGACAGTAAAGAGAGCAGGAGGCGATGAATTGGACTGCACTTTTGATTGACAAGTTTCAAAATGGGCTTAAATTTAATGTTGAGGCCCATATTTTAATAGTCCAGAGGCTCATTAACTTCAACTCATCAAGCTTTGACGATGTTCATAAGGTTTAAGATTATCTAAAATTAACTAGTACAAGTAAGTTTTTAAATCAGTATTAGTACCAAGGAACTAAAATATTGTTTCCAGGTGAAGCCGATAATTCATTTGATTAACATTCAACAATGCTTAATCACTGAAAATTGTATGTATACTAAGGTAACATTTTTTTTTTAATTTTTTTTAACGGGGAGGGGTGGGGGATTTATAATAAACAGCGGAGGAGAAAGAGAATTAAAACTTCCCGGACTCTTAACCTCTTAATGATATCTCATGAGCTATGGCTCACCAAGGCAAAGTATCCTTTATGAGGTGACTTTCTTGTACTACTTGATATTAAAATGTCATCATGGTAAAAGTTGTTGATCTTGATCCTAAAATTTCCTTCCGGTAAAATTTGTATCCCCAAAATTTCTGGAAATTTAGCCCCTTTAGCTAGAGTGGCTATAAAAAATAAATAAATAAATTCAGTGCACAAAGAATGGAAGAAATGAAAATAGCAGCCAAATATGTGTATTAATGGTTTTCTGATGCAGTAAGCATAGCATCAATAATTCCATCCTGTTAGCAAACCGCTTAATATTCCCGTCCCACCATCCTACAATGGGTGGGACAACAATGACAAATAACCGATCAAGGAGATCAGTGACATTTTCTTGCTACAACAATGAATAATCAAATCCCTCAGCAGCACTGGGAGTACAGTAGAACAAGAATGAATAAATCAGTAATTTGAGATGACCGACAAGAACTGCCAAATGAACCACGAAGAAGCTCATCAGCAAATTCATGCTCCTTCAAAGTAAGCATTCCAGTTCGAATCTGAAATCTGATCTTGTGAAAAAATTGATATTTCGGCTACTTCTTTAGCTAGGTGGATCAAGTTTGGAGTTTGCTGGACACTGGGAATAAAAACTGCAGAAGTTGCATTTCCACCGCTCCTCTTCTGCAGCATAACTGGGTTCTCGTTCCCCTCGCCAGAACTCCAGACAAGACTTGAGTTGATTATTGAGCCAATCAGCATCATAAGCAAACTGATCTTCACCGATCAAAGATTGATCTTCTTGGTATTCATACCTGTAGAAGACAATATTCTTGCTAGTGTAAAATGGACTACCGCAGAGTGCCCTGAGTGATTTGTGGTTTTCCAAATGAAAGTCTTTTAAAAGCGTTAACCCAAAAAGACAAATAAAAAAAGGCAAACTTTTGGATAAGGAACAAGTGAACATCAATTGTACAATGTTGAGGATAAGTGACAAGCTTAATTTCTGCAAGTCCCTCTTCGTTTTTAGTCTCAACTTCTTCTATATACTAGTAGGCACTTGATAAAGGGCAAATGAAATATCTTCTAGGAAAAAGAAAAGCACCTGTAAACTTTTAGCCTGCCTAAGGTCACTGGGTGGACATAGCCTCAAATCTTTTTTCTTAGCGCTCAGAATAATCATCAATATAGGCAAATGGCAGAAACTAGACCTGGACTTTATTGTTGTAAAACATGCTGAAAGTGGAAAATTTTGGGAAAGATGTGGAGGGAAGGAGGTCAGAAAACATGAAAAGGAAATGAAGAGCACAGATCATACGAAACGTCAGTGCTGTCTTCTTTTGAAATTGGTTAAAATTCATCACCAGAAGCCATGCTAGGAGATGGAGAAAAAAATTCGGCAGTCCATATAGCGCTTATCTAACAACACATGGAAATCCTTAACCAACCTTAGTAACAGTTGGTCCTGAGCTGGAGGCAGCATACAACAAGTATTTCGATAGTATGCCACCAAATCATTCAGAGTCTGCATAAATGCAAAGGATAAGATGTTCAATTAAACACAAAAATAAGCACTCAAAGTGCATAAATGGGTATATTACAGGTAATCCCTTATACTGAGCCACAATGATATGTAAATTGAAATTTTACTACAGGACTAGAACACTATCCAATTTATCAACGTCCAAGAAAAATGTATTGCTTCAATTTCAAGAAGCAATGCTATTAGCTGGTATCTTCCTCAGCAACCTGACCAAAAACCACACTTGATAGTACCTTCCATTTCTCTGTTGTGCTTCAGTAGGAAGCTTTGCTCGTGCACGAGTTTTTGTATCAACTAATGTAGGATATCTTTCAGTTTCTGTAACAGGCATTCGAATTTCATCAATTACTCCCACCATCCATAGACCTTCTTCAAAGCTTACTCTGGTGGTATTACCAGGCCATCAGATCACAAGAAGACCTATTATACTCCAGAATCACCCAATAAATGAAATGCAGTGTCTGGAAGCATGAGCTTTGCACACAACAAGGTGCATGTTTGTGCGAACGTGTGTTGGTGTGCAAGAAACTGAGAATGCACACAAGAGGAAAGGGGCAGAAGAAATCATAAAATGCATAAAATACACGAGAATCTTACAAAGGCAATTCACGCGTCAGTCCATCAAATAGCAACTGATTTGCCCCAAGTATAAAATTCATAAACTTCACAGCCCATGTGTCTTCAACGGATGCAACATGGATTTTGACCTTTTTGACAACCTGCAACCATACAATCGAAGGTCAGGCAACAATCTGAATAAATAAAGACTAAAATGATAATTATCCACGAAAAATATTCTGTTCTCTAATTGATAGTGCTCTATTTCATTCAGCTAAAATCCAAACATAATTAACCAGAATCATAACAAAAAACACATTGATTTCAGGGTTTGGACATATATAAAAAAGGAAGATGGTAAGGCTAACTTAGAATAGGAAGGTTAAAAAGTTGAA